AACATCCAAAAATTGTTGAATATTCATCAGTTAATGCTGATTTATTTGATATTTCTAAGCAAAGGGGAAGGAGCAGAACAAAGCTTATTAGNNNGTTGATCCCCCCCCCGGAGAACTTGGAACTGTAATAAACGGTGTTGAATGCAGCACTGTCTTTGTTATATATAAAATTATAGCAGCAAAAAAAAATTCAACTGTATCTGAAATTTTGAAAACTGAATCAGATAATCAACGGTTACACTGTTTATACAATTTTTGTTCTATAATAGAACTGTATAATTTTTTCAAGTTTTTTTTTTTTTTTAGACAACATTACAGGAGGATTAAGAGAAATTAAGATTAAAGAAAAAACAAAAATGCTTTTTTTTTAGCTTAAATTATGTTTAGATTTCAAAATTTTAGAAAAGCATCTGAATTTGCATTCATCAATATGCATTCTTCAAAAAAAGCAAAAAAAAAACAACCCAGTTTATTTTTGAAAAGAAGATAAAAAATATGGAGTTGTTTGAACAGTAACAGTTCTAAGAATGACTTAAACAATGGCTTTTTTATTTTTGTTCTTAAAATTAACAAATCTTTTTGTAATCTATAATTTTCTTATTGCTAATTTATCTGACTAATGCTTAAAATTTTGAAAAAAAAAAAAAAAACTATTGATCAAAAAAGCACATTTTTTTATTTTCTACCAATATTTGATTCATATTTTAGCAACAAAAAACTTTCTGCTTTTAATTGTCAATTTTTTTTTTTTGAACATTATCGTCAATATTTGCAGAAGCTAAATGATTACAAAAAAAAGAATAAGAATAAGATAAAACTTATAGATTTGAAATTATCCTAAATTTGGAAAATAACACTGAGCTATTAGTATCGGTAAACCAACGACAGCAAAAGCAAAGAAGAAAAAAAAATGAAAAGCATTGAATTGTTTCCGTTGCCAAAAAGAAAAAACGAACACTTACGAAGCACAAATAAATACTATTATAGAAATAATCTGTTTTTTTTTTTTTCCTTTCATAAACACTCATTTTTTGCCCTATTTTTTTTTTTTCTTAAAAGGTAAAAGCAAAGGAAAAAAAAAAACTGGGGGTATAAACTTTTAGCTATTAGAATTATTTCAATAAAATTTTAAGGCTTCTAAAAATTGATTCCTTCAACAAGGACGATGACAATAAAATTGTGGATGATTCAACATTTGTCATTTGTTTTTAGTCCAACAAAAACAACAAGAAATCCATAAGGAAAAAAAAAAAGCATAC